GAGTTTTTCGTGCGTGTGCCTCATGAACCATTTTAATTATATTATTATTATTATTATTACTTATTTTACCTAATCTAGTCTTAAATAACTTAAAAAGATCCATATTCTTAGATAGTTACTTTTACAATAATAGATAAAGAATAAATAGGAAAAAAAATAAAGTATTTACCTAATCTTCTTTTTTCTTGCTGTCAGGTTTCGAAGAGAGTTTAGCCTAATTTTTTTATAATAATGATAGTAATGCATTTAATAATTTCTATATATTTAAATAATGCACCAAAGAATATGTACTAATATCATGCAAAAAGTAGACAAATTCCCTTAACTCTCAAAATTTTCCTGGCTTCCTAACTATGCGACAAAAGCTGTTACAAATTCTTCCAAATTAGTCGTTAACTTTCCCACGGGAATGAATCTTGTACTGTGAGTGAAGTTGACGAATATTCTGTACAGAACACAACGTTATACAATACGCGATTTGATAGATGAAAACTATGACTTTCTATTGGTTATAGGTAATATATATTTAAACGTAAGAGAGAGCTATCAGCAAATTGTGAACGAGAGGATGTGACAGGAGGGGTTTGATTTTCTATTCGATAGCTCTGTAACCAAACAAAATTGAATACTATAAAAATTATGGTTTGTCTGAGCAATAAGATTTTATAGAGAGTAATTTTCATTTAATTTTGTACATTTTCAAGGGGTGATGGATAAAATATGGATGATGATATGTTAAGACAAAATGTGCCACATGGGTCACACTAGTGGATATTCAGGATGTTTCTAAATATTGCCTTGTAGAGTTAAGAACTTAAAACTTGTATACTATTAAAATATGGATTATTACCTAAGATTTTATGCTATTCTAATAGGTATAACATAAACAAAAAGTAGTATAATAATATTTTGAATATAAGACACTAAAACCTTGTGTCATGCGCAGTAAAGGATACCTGAAGCGATAGGGTTAATCCTATTGCTACAGGTAGGTCAAAGTGTATGTCATGACTTTTTACATTCAAAATTTAATTAAACTACTTTGTTATCAATGTACACAAAAAAAACACCTTAGAACATAGTTAACAAATGAAATATTAATATCATATGTTTCTATTTCTTAATTTTAGATAAAATATTTAAATAATTTTCAACCTCCCCTTGTATGTATATCGTGATGTTATAATTTTGTTACAATCTGCAGTCACTCTAGAAAGAAAAACAAATATTCATATAGGAGGTTTTATGCAATAAATTTGAAAACTGTAAAATGTATTTTTAATCTTAGAATGAAAATCACCTTGCACTAAGACTAGTCAACACTGACTTCATATGTTCATAGACAAATCTTTGGTAAAAATACTAAGCCTGCACGAGTAGAGTTAATCTGTCTAACTTAGTATATCAGGCCCTCTTACCTTCTCATAATTATTAATATATTTTAGAGTAAATTTGAAAGTGTACAATTGAATTAGTTTTTCTACAAACAGAAACTTCTTGTGTAGACTAAAATTGTATGCTTAAACTAATTCAATAGAGTAATAACTTTTTATGTAAAATACTTTAATGTACCTGATTGGTAAAGTATACTACATAAGGGCTAATGTCTTTTTTGTCTTTATGTGTGTGTACTACCACACAAACACTTGTTAAAACAACAAAAACACTTAAATGATTGCTAAGATTGCATGACTGATGTAAAACTCATATTTAAGTGTATGAAATCCTACCTTTAGAAATTTAAAATTAATCTTACCTTTCAACATGTTTACAACCAATTCATTTGGGAAATGTGAATGCTGACTATCAACTTCTTTTGTTACATTCTGAAACCAGTTGCTAAACCTACTGTTTTCTAGTGGAATATTCGGCTTAAGTTTTTCTGTGTTGCCATTCTGCAAATACACACGTGCATTTTGTACTTTCATATAAACATAGCTATAATAAAACTTACTAAACAAAATTTCAGTCACAGTTATAAAAACAAGCATATTTCAGTGATTCTTGCCTAATTTTCTACTGTAACAAATGCATACACCTCTAACCAAATATAGAATCCATTATAAATACTTTTCTATTTGAATTACTATTCATCAGTAGCTTACTTCTTTTTAGTAAACACAATAAATTTTTTCCTGAATAGTGAAGCAAACTTTTCTTGCCAAATTTCAAGTTCAACAAAGTCAAAATATACTTTTCTTTGTTATTAAGGACAACATTTTACAATGGGTCATCTGCAGTATGCCTGTCTTAGGAACTGAACCCCAAATTTTAGTTTTATGAGTCTAAGTTTACAACTGAGTCATCACAGGGATTTTAATTTTCATATATCATCAAATGTGTTAATAATTGAATAGTTTATATATATATATATATATATATAAAGTTCATATCATATTTTGTTCCCTAGGCTGACCATAATTTGTCTACTTCTATTTGCAAGTTCTGTTTATGTATGTTAGCTTTCTACACTTGACTTCTTTATTCACTGGTGTTTGAGGAACTAATGCCAGAAGAGATTAGCTTTTTTTCTTCTTCAGAGCCTTAAATATATTTTAACCTCCACGATACCGAACACACGAAAGCAATATATAATTTATAACTAAGCAAAAACTTCTCAATTAAACATACCGCTACTATTCCAGGAACAAGTTCCATCTGAAATATTTCATTGAAGTCAAATCCTGGGCTAGGATCCCTAGTTTGTTTTTCATTTTCAGAATGTTCAACTTCATCGTGGATTTCTCCATTTTCTTCAGATTTATCTCCAACTGGCACACATGCTGTTACCAAATTAAAAAAAAAAAGTCACTAAACCCAATACTTTATTAATAGAATCAAAGTTTACAAACCAAAAAATTTTATGTCAGTGAACTTATATACTACTTGAAAACTGCCTTCATTTACTTTTTATGCATAGTTAATACAACAACAACAACAGAACTTATATTTTTGGCTACTAAACTGGTGTTAAATTTGAATCATTCACAGATATTACAAGACAAAATATCTAATAAAATAGCCATATAATTTGATATTCAGTCACTTAAATATCATATTAACAGACTTCAAAAATAAAAACAGGAAAGCCCTACTGTTAGAAAAAAACATTGGTTAATATGAAATACATTTTTACCTCATAATGATCTTATATTACTGATATTTCTTGTTTTTTAAGTAAAAAAATAAACTAAAAAATATATATTAGTACTGATCCTAGCAGTATTACATGCTTAATTTTCTTTCTGATAATTAGAGAAGATTAGTACAGTGAAACCCCTATTTTTTGCACCCCGATTTAATGTGAATTCGGATATATATATATATATATATACAGTCTTATTTTCTATACAGCTATTTTATATATATATAGCAAGGCTTCTTAAAATAAACTTGATAACTTGTAAAAATGCTAGTTTTTCAAACACTAATATGTTTCTAGTGTTCATGTCTGACAAACATGCACCAGATCAATAAATCTTTGCTGTCAAAACATAGAACCATAATGACCACTCCAAGGATTCTTAATTACCAGCAATTCACTGGTCTCAGATATCGTAATATGCAGAAGTGTTGAGCCATCTTCATTTTTTTTTTTGTAGTTCAGTTTGATTTCTGAATACATATTTTATGGGATAGCAATCGATTTGAAAGTACAAAAAATATGGTTGAAATGCACTTTTAGCCATATATTATCTAATATTTCACGTTCCTTCATTTTTCTTTCAAAACTGCTTGAATGCAATGTAGAATAATATCCTATAATTTTCATATAAAACTCTTCTAAAATACTATTCCAAGCATCAAGGAAAGTTCATCTTTAGAAGCTTGTTACTTTTTATTCAGCATTACCAAACTGAAAAGTGGACCCATCAGCTATCAGTCATTTTTTGGAAGGTATAGCATGATGTATTACTATCTGCTTATGCTTTGCTGTGTTCATTCTTCCATTAATTCACACAAGATCTCCCACTCCAGCTGCTATGATGCACCCAAATGTATGCTTTTAAAACTATTCTTTATTACACCTATTGTACAAAAAATAAATAAGTTAAATCAGAATTTTAGGAAACCAAAAACATATTCTAGATTAGATTATACCAAAACTCCTATAATTTACTTGGCTTTCTATAAATAGGTTAAAAATATTTACATACTTCTCAGATCAATGTCTTTGGTCCAAACTCAATGAACTGTGATGGGTAACAAATTTCTGATGATCATGTGATTTATGCAGTGTAAAATTTGCTCTTGCTATTAGTTATAAACATAACCAATAACAGAGGGAATTATATACATTTTATGAAATACAAGGTGTGACAGGAGGGGCATGTCAAGTGGATTTCACTTTCTTGTTTATATCTCTGAAAAGCAAGAAGTTTGGAGGCTCTAACTTTAAATTAGGCTTAGCAATATTTACATTACAAGTGTGTAATTTGTGATAAACTCAGAAGATCATATAGGGATAGAAAGAAAATCTAAAATGGGTTATTTGAAGGAAAGAAGTGTCAAGTGATACAAAAAGTGAAGATTGAGAATATATTTTAAAATTTCCTTTATAAATTAAGAAATTTAAATATACATAATAGTAAAAGTTGAATTATAAACTACAATTTGATGCCACAGTTATTGACATACATAGATAATAAAGCAGTTTAATAAAACTTTGAATGTAACTCTAAAAAGGTTGTGACATGTGCACTTTGATCCATCCATTCACTTAGGGTTAACAAGACAGAATAAAGTTATATCACAACGGTTTTTATTTCATTACCAGCTGTAATTTTACAAAAAAAAAGGATCAAAATATTCAATGATTACCATCCTTTATGTTTGAAGTGACTGTGTTTCACATATGGCAATGTTTAAAAGTTAACTTTTATGAATGCAAATACAGTAATGTCAAAATGTTGCCACACGGTTAGAAATGGTTAACAAAATAATAAAGATTTGAAGCTGATGAAGGCTCCCATGCTAGAAGTTAATAAACTTCCAGCCATGAGAAAGATAGCTGAAGAAACCAGAATCACAAAAAAAACTTATTCAACCACATATTTTGTGTGCCTTTGGTCCAGTTAAACTTGGTCTTCATACTCAAATGTACAATAGAAGGTCTGTAAAAATTATGTAATATGTGTGTGATCTAAGATTGAATTCACCACCTTCACAGAAGCTGTTATAACACAAATTGCAGCATTTGGCAACAGTGCATAATTATTACCATCAGACTGAGTACAACCAATAGAAGTAGTAGTTCCAAGAACAATATGGAACATTGTTCTTATAAAGTACGATTAATCTTAGTACACACTTTTATTTATAACAAGAAAGTGAACATTTAATACCACATTCATGCAACTTTTACATTACTCTTCTGTCTATACTAAATTTTAATCAATTAATTAACACAATTTGATATATATATCAAAATTGTTTGCATTAATTCATTATCCTATACCTTTGTTAAAGGAGTCTTCATTGGATACTTCCATTTTGTTGTTTGGTTGATCAGAGTTTACTTCATTTGAAATTTTTTCCTCAGCTTTTGCTTTTTCTAAGTCATCAAATCCTATAAGTTCAATTGTTTCAGATTGACTAGTTGGACCACCACTAATCCATTCTGGCTCTTCTTCTTTACCATAATCTCTAGATCGACCTGACAAAACAAACACAGTGTAAAAACAAAATTAATTTTATTTCTTTACATAAACACACACACACATACA